TATGTTCATTTGCAGCTATGTATTTGCATCTTTAGAGAATGCAATGGTTTTAGTTGTAACCTCATGCTAGTCAACAACATTTTGGGCTCAGTGCAAAAAAAAAATCCAACAGCAGAATTCAGTGTATGTCTACATAAATACAAATATTTACATTCTAAATAGTAGGGGGTTAACTCAAACAGTTAATCAGTTACAAATAATAATTTGTCTGTGTAACCTATATTTAACACAATTTTATAAGAGGGCCCCAACCTGCTTATTTCTACAAATTCTTAAAATTTTTTAAAAACTTCCAAAAACTTAGTTATTTTTATAACCTTGCCAGGAAGACATGAGCAGTGGCTGTGTTCTCAGACTTGACACTCCGAAAGGAATCACCTATGTATCTATTACCTTTTATGAAGGAAAGTATCAAGAAGATTCAAGTTGAAGATTCAAGTTTAACGTTTACCTGAACAAATAGCAAACCAATGACTATTAAAAGAGTTCATATAAGCAAACCAGCTTGTATGTAAAATGCCTTAATTCTATGCATATGCAATAAATGAGAGAGAGAGGTGAATGACAGGAATTAGAAAGGAAATAAATGCATCAGCATTTCCCATGACATCACAAGCTACAGACATACTATCTACAAGGCTTATGATACCACTAGCACCTTTCAGCACCATTTCCCTTCCGCTAATCTGATTACCCACCTGATGACAGAAAAAGATTTTACTTGTACATTTTTAGTTCATGATAATTTCCCATCTTTAGAAGACTTTCTGCACAACTGCTTCCTGAAGTAGACGGCTCCAGGCTAAAGATTCTTGCCCCATCATAGGGATATACTAATCCCACCGTCTAAATGGGAAGAAAATAAAGTTACAACGTTCAGGCAACCCATTACCCAACCTGCACGCACGCTGCCGGAGTGGGGAGGCTTCACAGAATACCCTCTTTACTTATGAAGAAAAAGTGAATTCCATGCTAAATTGCCATTGCCATACCCCATGGCCATGCTCCCCTTTTCCTCTAATGCTGCCTCCTATCTCATGGACTAAAACTGTCCTCTCTAGAGGTGCCTCATCAGTGATCTCACCCAGGAAGGGAATTTGGTCAAAAGCTAAGAATGGGAGATGGGGCGTGAAAATCACAACTCCCCAAGAATACCATGGTGGTCTTCCTTAAAGGAATTTTTTTCAGGCTTTGATGATTAGCATTTTATGAAAGGACATGTGAGAAAGAAACACCTTTTAAAAAAAAAATTGTGAAAAACCTTGTTTTCAATTAAATACAATTCCAATAGGAAAAAACCCCAACCACCCAGTCAGCCTGACACTTCTTCAATAGGAGAGAATTCAAGCTTGCAGAATATAATTGACCAGCATGGAATTTTGCCAGGATACCAAGATAAACATAATTACTCATATTGAGTGTTAATTAATTGTTTGTGAACACAAATAATTGGCTGCTTGGTTTTATAGCTCATTAGAAAGCCAACAATTCTATTAGACATTGCTGTCCAGTAGCTATACTAGGACCACTGAGCTGTAATCACCAGAAGTCTGAAACTAAGCCAGGGAAAATCAGTGAGAGGTCGACCACTGAAATCAAGCTCCAAGAAAAAAAAAAAAGTGATACCTAGTAAATAAGTATTAACACTTTCTGGATAAAGGAGGGGCTTTTTTTGGTTGGAGTTTTGGTTTTTTGTTGGTTGTTTTTTCTTTTTTTTTTTTGGTTGATCATTTATGCAATTTTTTCTACCAAAGATCTCTCAAAAAACAAAGAGCTGCCACATGGAGTTAACCAATATTACTTACGAATTAGTGACCTTGATATACACTACCTATGACACATGATGCAACTAAAAGTGTAGTGAACTCCAGCAGCTTCCCTGGCAGAGCTATGCACAAGCACTGTGATAGTCAGCTTCGCAAGAGCTTCGTCCGCACCTGCTGGGGGTTATTGATTAACACACAACATGGGGAGCGCCTGCATTCTTGGCAGACAATAACTATATTCTTACAAACCACTGATGGGCTAAACAAGCTATTAATGACAGGTTGCTCTTCATCATTTAGAACGGACAGGCTCTGCTGCTTGACCACAAGGACAAGCAGGTTATTGCTTTGTAATGGTATACAAAAGACACAAATAAGGTGTATCTAATGAGTAAACCACACGCATGGCTCCATGGTTCTTTTTTAGTAGAACTATTAATAGAGAACAGGACCTATTCAGAGCTGCAGATATATAATAATCTATTCCAAGGTTTCTACAGTTTGTTAACATTTGTTACCCTGAAAAGGAATTAGCTAAGTATAATTCAGCAAATAACCACCAAAATTTTTGGAATAAAAGACTGATTCCCCTATGCTTACAACTTTGCAGTTTCTTTTCTTAACTAGCTAAAAATAAAATATGCTTCTGAGCAGATGTAGCGATTGGTGGTCAGCAGGGAGTACGGCTGTGACCCCCTTGCACATTAGCCAGACACACTAGACAGCCCGTCCTCCCAGCAGCAGCAACCAGCCCAGCTCCTCCAGGAGGGCCAGCTCTGACTCTGAGAAACAAGCACATGGACCTGCTGGGAAGTTCTCCAATCCACAAAGAAAATATTTTTGTTTATGAAAGCATCTGTTTTTAAACTGGAAGTATTTCCAAATAACAGTTTGTAAAATATTTACCAGATTTTTGAACAGCAGTTGTTACACTACTTTATTTCACTCCTGTAGCTATATGCTAGATACCAGGATGGCAGAAGCTACTTAAACAAGGGTAAGCAGTAAAATATGGGAACATACAGACCCCGTAAGGATTATATCACAAATTGTAAACCACCCTTTTTTACAGAAGGGATTAAATACTAGATTACCCAATCAATATAAAGATTCTTCTTTTTTCATAAGGGGGAAAAAAACCCTTCTTTACGAGTATTTGGAGATACAGTAATTTAAAGTAGTAGAACCAGAGCAATCATGTGGCTTAATTCTTCTGAGGAATATCCCTATAGTTTATTGGATTCCAAAAGGTCTTTGTGAACTTGTCTGACATAACGTTGAGATATAAAACAGTTTCCAGCACGAATACTCCCATCTGTGGGTGTCTTGGGAAACAGTTAATTTCCTCAAGCACCCATTCCCAGGACAGATTTTCTAAGATCACAGGGAAAAGGAAAAAAAGTCTCAAACCTGGAGGTTTTTGACAGCTTTTTTGCAGAAATACAAAGCAGCTAATGTGTTTAATGAAGACAAAATTTTATTCAAACATATAATGAGTTACCTTGTAAAGAACTTAAGGCATCATTACTCTGCAGAGAATCTTTCCAGTACATTTTCCCCCAAATCCCAGAGAAACCCTGAACATCAGTGAACGCTATTCCTGGTCCACCCCCCCGCCCCAGGCTACTCAAAACCCATAGAGCCTCTTCCTTCTGCACCTGCTGGTTTGAGGTGACATTATAAATCAGACCTGCAGCTCCAGCTATTGCAGCACTCCCAATTTAGAAAAAGTACCAGTCATGGTCATCTGTCAAGACTACAGCATCTTTATAATGCATTAGAAAAATTCTCTGAACCCATCAAATTACAACTACCTGACACCAGCAGAGGAATGAAACATTTTAAAAATTTATTTAAGAGATTCAACTAGCATGCAAGATACCAATGAAACTAGCAAACAAGATAAATTTTCAAACTGCTCTAAGAACTATTCATAACACTCAGCTATTTATTCCATTTACAGATTCAAAATACTAGTTGCAATGGAACATTTAATATGCCACCATTATAAAGGGGAAACTGTTGACAACTGTGCCAGAATATACATCCTTTTCATCCCGCTGTTACTCCAAGAAGATATTGGTACACAAGCTCCTACAAATCATATTTCCCAAGTGATTCCCAAAATGCGACGCAACAACAGAAAAGCAATTTTTTCAAATGCTCATGCAATACATTGTGATAAGATTTTATTTTAATAGCGGTACAGAACAATATATATTATTTAGATCTTATGTGAAAAAATTAAATATGAATTTAAACACTTCTCATGATGTACTGAGATATACTGCCATTAATAGTGAATATTTTGAATTAATGAGATTTAATAATCTGTTTAGATGAACTACTTAATGTTCTGATGATTGCTGATACTAACATTCTAGGCTCAATGAACTTCAGACTTGTGACAATATTGTATTTTTTCCAGTTTTGATCAACCGATTAGTTTTTAATGCTAAGTATGTCTTGCCATCACTTGTGGTTTGAATATGTTTACTTAAACCAAAAATATTTTGCATCTCAATTATTATTTTATACTGCAGCACTGAATGGAATTTAAGTCAATACATTATTCATAAAGCAAAGACAAGAGAAAAAACAAAGCTGTGCACTTCTTTCAAAGACTTCAAATTACTAAAACATACCATATTTATGCATGCAATATTTGATTGTGTGTGTCTTTTTTTTTATCACAAGTTTGTTGTTTTCAGATCAGGATATGCCAAAAATCCAACACCAAACAATTTTTGTTTATAATTAAGGCAATCATCAATCCAAGGATTGCAGTCCATTTTATTTCATCTCTACATCAAAAAAAGTAATTTAAAAAAATTAAAATTCCCTTGAAATGGTAAGATAAATGAAAATGTAAGGGCCTTCACATAATAACAGTAAGCTGACCCTCTGGGAAATGGTTGACTTTCTCAATTCAAGGTATTCAAAGCTCATTCAAAAGTGTTCATTTGGAATGCAGATATCAAAGATGATGCAAATGTTCAAGAGAAAATTAAAACTTACCAGATGTTCGAATCCAGCTTTGATGTTTCCAGAGTCCCTGTAACAGAAGAACAAAAGTTCTAAATAGTTGCTAAACCCTTGTCTACAACGATTTATGTTTAACTCAAATGTCAAAACCATGTAATTTCTTGAGTATATAAAATTTTTATTTTTAATATGTTAACCATTACAGTACCTAAAAAGTATCAATTATCCTAACGCATAACTACAGAATTATTTAAAACCTCAAATTTTACCTGCCCTGAAATTGCTATAAACTGTAGCAATGCAACAGGACACTCATTTAAAAAACAACATTTTTAATATAATTATCCCACTATTCATATTGGAATTAATAAAACAAGACAGTGCATAATGTTATGTATCAAAGCCACATTCAGTGGCTCATGGTTCTTTTGTCATTACTTCAATAATAAAATTCTGTGACCGTTTACAAAGATGATGGAATAAATGAATCTTATATCAACTAACTAGGTCGTGGCAGCCATAGTGAAACATTGCATTTGACTCCTGACAGCTGAAAAAAATACAATGTACAGACACAAAAATGAGAAGTAATGTCACATAAAGACAGCTGCAAAAAAATGGACCAAACTACCAAAGCACAAACATTGAAAAGCAAAGAGAATTCAGAGTGAAAATTAATCCTTAACACATCCTGCTATGTAAAAAAGATAACCCGAAAGAAAACCGAAGCAAAACAAATTTAAAAAATCCCCAAATCCCAAGCCACTAAACAAGGAGGCTGGTTTCTGCTTTCACTGACCCCAGGTTCTACCTGCTTCCAAAAATGTCACTGTGCCTTTTGAGGAAGATGGGCTGCAACCATGGCAAACAAGGAGAAATCACCCCACAAGTGTTTCAAGTAATCAGTTATTGAACTATATAACATAGTGCGTATTTATATTTATAATATTAATTTTTCAACAAATTATTCAACTATATCAAACCACAGGTGCAAAAACCCCAACTATGTTCCTCTAAGACAGCAAACCATGCAAGACTGAGGCTTCCGTTCTCTGTAATACTTAGTAGAGGGTGTGTAAGGCATAATGTGAAGTTACACACAAAAATGGCTAAATGTATGAAATTTTTCTAGATACTGAATAAGGCTACACAATTCGATTACACATTTTACAACCTTGCTGTACTGTATTTTAGACTTTTTACAGAAAGCTTTTATTTATAATTTCATAAAGCTTTCAAAAAAGTCTGCTATGCACTTTTGGTCTGTTTGAATATATCATGAATGAAGCAAGAGAAAAAGATGCACCTTCCTTACACCATTATTTTGTATTTTGAAACAAGAATTAATTATTCAAGTCCATACAATATTTAAATAGAAATCATCTCCCACATCTATTTTTGAGGTGCTAAATGGCCTTAAAGAATTTAATCACTTTGGAAGCAGGATCCAAGCAGCTGATGCGAGGACCTCTCAACTAATGGTATAAAACCTGCCCTGTTAGTGGTCTGTCTCCTGTGCTGTCCCTGTCATGACTTCATCAATATTTGTGCAACTCCTTTTGCCCTGTGCTGAAAGCAGACTTAATTCAATTATCGGTCTCAAAACTGATAAAAAAGGTCCTAAAGTGGAAAATGTGAAGAGATTATTGGCAAATGAATAAAGATTTGTATCGAACTAACACTGAAGAGTACAGCAGGGTGGTTTGTTGGGGTTTTTTGTTGTTTTTTGTTGTTTTTTTTTTTAATCATTCCCTGTCTTAAGTCTTCTGGGAACAGTGAGTTTCCCTTCCCCTCATGCAGCACATCGATTTCTGAATTAGACTGCAATATTAAATAATTAATATACTTGCCATGATTGATGTTTTGCATTAGTTGAATATTAGGTTATCAATCAAAATCCACTTGGTTTAATGTAATAATATTGAAAAAGTGTCACTGGCTGTTCATCCAATTTGTAGTTGAGGCAGCACAGATAGTAATATTGGTGTAACACAAGGCTCTAACGCAGGAAATGCAGTGGTTGAACATACATAAGGCAAACATTATCAAACTAACCAGGACAAGGTTGAGGTTGTCCTAAATAAACCTTGTGGCACCTGTCACTTCAAATGAAAACCTCTTTCCAGCCGGAGGCTGCCGTGCATCAATCAGCGATGACAACTAGTGAAGCCATGGCATAATTTTATCTTTCTAGTTAAACAATAATTATACAAATAAGACTCCCATTAATACTGTATTTCAAATATTGTGTAATGCAAAAATCAGACCTGTTGCTACAGCTCGGTCTAACACATAACCTTAGATGTCTACAGAATACCTTAATCATTAATACTGTAAAACACTACAAATAAAAGGCAAGAACAGCTTTATGCACATCCACTATTATAATACTCCTATAAAGGAACACCATAAGAAAGTTATATTAATTTTATATCATTATCAGGTAATAATGTTTTACTCAACTTTTACACCACACAGTTCCCAACAAGATATATATTTGACTTTCAAATCGTGTCCAGTGCACCACATTTATTTTTTTGGTTCATTAGGCAAGTTTGGTTTTATTCTTGAGATTTTCTTTTTTCCATCAGAGAAGCTCTGGAATTGTATTTCCTCAATATAGTCAAGAAATTGTGCTGTAAAATACTAGTTGACGTGCATATATTTTAAAATCATACATTAAAACCAGCAAGCATAATACTCAGGCTAATCCAAATGTTAGCTTTTGATAGTGCCAAGGGAAAAAATTTCAGCTGAGCTAAATCTGAATCATGGTTATGAGGGACCTGTAACAACAAGCCAGGAATTCAATTAAGCAAGCGTAGCCAGCTTTTGGATTACTTAAAACTGTAGAGTAGGTAACTAATTGAGGTAATGTTAACTTATTAGTGCTAGTTCCTTTGCCAGTAAACTAAAATAAGATAAAAATATTCACTAGCACTTGCCGAAAATCCTGATTTTAACCTAGACATATATTCATGTTTATAAAAGTAGGTTCCCATACAAAACTAGCCGTTAATCAAGGGAGCTGAAAAATATGCAATATCTTCAAAATACCTGAACTTCAGCTAGTTTAAAATAATACAAGATTTCACTAATAATTTACTTTTAAAATACATTTATAGCAGTTTCACACAGGAATTGTAGAACTAATACTTGTTTTTGCACAACAGAGCTAAACAAATTACTGGGTACATGTGGATACACTACTTTGGAGCAAAGCACCCTCAAGAAGCTACAGTCTTAACATCATACCACAATGACAGTGACTTATTTTATTACTGTGAGGCTACCTAAAACCAAAGAAATCTCAGAGATATTTTTACATATCACTAAGATAGGCAATTGAGCTTGTTAGTAGGTCTCTGTTATATACTTTAAAATGACAAACAATTATGAGAGACAAGTTTAATCTGTGCTGCTGTTCAGATCAGTAGCATCGAACTGGAAGTATCCTGCAATTTTTAAAAATTTCTTCCAAACGAAAACAAACCACTTCAGTTCATGTTCTTAGTTCCTCTCAAGTTGTTATCAACTCATTCTCAATACTTCCCTTATATTCATAGTTAAAATTTTCTTTGCCACCGTTTTTTTTGTTAGAATCCATAGGCCCCAGAATAATTCTATGGATTACCTATATCTACGGATATTACAGGATAATTCAGATTGAAGGGCCTCTGGAGGTCTGCAATCCTACCGCCTGCTCAAGGCCGGGTCAACTGTGAGGCCAGACCAGGCTGCTCAGAGTTTTATCCAGCCTGGTCTTGAAAGGACAATCTCCCTGGGCAACCTGCTTTGCTGATCAAATGTCCTCACTGGGAGCATCTTTCCTTCTATCTAGTCCAAGATACTAGATATCTTTTTTTCAATCTGTGCTGGTTGCATCTTTCCTCCTACCACATGCCACTTCAAAGAGCCTGGCTCCTTCTCCCCGGTGACCTCCCTCCTCATCAGTCTGGGTGGCTGCTGTCAGGTGCCCTCGAAGACATCTCTTCTCCAGGCTGAACCACCCCCAGTCCCTCAGGTCCCCTCGCAGGGCAAGTGCTCCAGCCCCTGACCATCTTGGTGGCCTGAACTCCACACTAAACAGTCCCAATGTCTGATTTTTCTCCTCAGAAGCCAAATGAATAAATAAATCATCTCATCATTAGCAAGGCCTTTGGCAGAATCCCCTCCAGTTCCACATTAACTACAAGCTGCAAAGAACAAGGTCATATGCAGCGTTTCAGGTCAGGCTGCATCACACTCTCAAATAAAGGCCTTTTAACTCCGCTCTTCATGAATGCCAGTGTGTTAGTGTTGTTGATCAGGCAGCATTGTACCAAGTGGTTACAGATAATTTTCATAGAGCTCTCTCAAAAATCTCTTGGATCATTCAACAAGCACATCACATAATGCTTTCAATAATCTGTCAAGTATCATTTTAAATTAATCCATTTTTTGTTCCATTATTCATCCTGGATGAAGAACCTAATAGTGAAAGATGTTCTTGGAACAACCTCATGTTTTCCTGTTCTTTATCCTCATGTTAACATGCTTCTACTGCTTGCTGTCATGTAATGGCCTTCCCTACAGATCTTCCTCCGAGTAGCACACACATCCGCTATTTTTCTTTTGGATGTTATCTAGAATACAAGCAAGGACTGATAAACAACCTCAAAATAAACAGCTGAATCTCTTCAGAAGCCTTCAGAGCTTCTTTATGAACTTCAGCAGGTGACAATATGTTATACACTCGCCAATACAAGCTAAACCCAGCTTCAGTGGTGGTCTAGTCCCTTCTCCCACCTCCCTAAGCTCTGCATTGAAGGTAGATTAAAGGGAGAGAAGACAGAAATGAGAAAAAATATGCCTTAGATGTTACGAATTATACCAAGGGGTATGGTGAAGAGGATGAGTTAGACTACTGCCATAAACGTCATAGCCACTGCCTCTCTTGTCTTGAGCTTCTTCAGTTAGTGAGAAGTCTACGCTGACGCAACACGGCCAAAGTGAGGAACAGTCTTACTAAATGCAACTATAGTGAAGGTGACAGCTATGGGAGAAGTAGACTAGTCAGCTATTTCTAGA